CATTTGACTTCGAAATGTGCGATCGCCTATCGATCAGAAAGTGTTGGAAATGCTGTATCAGCCAAGTACAACTCAGAACTCCATAGCCAAATCACTTGGTATTTCAAGAAAATCTGTTTAGTGTTATATCCCATCGAACCACCCCATGGCTGAGAGCAGCATTTTTAAGATGACAATCCAGCCAGCCCAGATAATGCAGCATGAAGATTTCAAGAACTCCAATAAATATGTGGTATTCAATCCTACAAAGTATTAGACAGGCAACTACTCATGTTCATTGCTTTATAGGTTTGTGGGAAAGTTTGGTGGTACCACGTGATCCAGTGGACGAGCTTCGAACTGGTTTACCGCAGTTGATCCATGATTAGACTGACTGTGATATTCTGAATACAAATGAAACAGTTTTGTATCATAAGCAGCTCCTAAAACAAACGTATGGCAACTATGCTAATATTTTCTCACCCATTTATGACTGAGTCAAGTTGAACAGTATTTTCTCACGTGCCAGGTGTCTGGGGTCGTGACAAACGCAACTTGTACCGACGGGGCAAGTGAAACGTCACATAAGTAGGTAGGATATCGTAACTGTAACAATTGATTTGGAGGAAAAGTTTCGTTGAGAAGTAGACATTTTGTACTGCGCGCAGGGTCAGTTGCTCGGTTCATTAATATGCGCATCACGTTTGAAATATGACGTTAAATAGATCATTTTCTATTTTATTGGTCACTTTTTCGGTTTTCCCGCAACCATTCTCATGCTAAAGTCAGCAGATTTTAAAATGACAAGTTCCGCACGCACAGTGTCCCTCATCTATGTCGGATCTCAGGAAGATTGTATAGAATAGCTTCTCAGCGTTACTTTACCTTCTGAAAAAGGAACGTATTCTCCTACCACGTCTGATCTGACCGACTGATTGGTATCGATAAATCATTTATTAGGAAGTCTGGGTTGAACTGTGAGTTCCTTACTCACTAACGTATCGGAACAGCTGAGCACAATATCGGTTGACTGAACCCAACAAGCCCGGATTCGTCAATTGGGGACAATCACAAACAATACTGCGGAACACGAGAAGGGAATAAATTTCAAAGAAACTTTCGGGAAAACGAAGAGTGTATTGAAAAGTGACTGAGCACACCCGGTACGGATTTTTTCCACACGGTCTGATTTGACCTACAGGAGTGTGAATTCACATATTTCACTGGGAGTCGAATGAAAGTATACTGGCTACGCACCCTTTAAGCAGGAAACCTGATCAGACCATTATTTGTTTTTCATCTTGTCCTTGCACAATATCGGACTGAATGAAATACCTTCGGTTTATCCTACCTGGTATTAGTGGTGGTAGTAGTAGTAGTGGCAGTCGCTTGGGTAGTGCTTCTTTGCAATCTACCCGTGTAATACTCCGTTGTCCCCATCAATAATTTCCTTGATAATCAGATTCCGTACACTGACTCTTCTCGATGTGATGAAAATGTGCATCAACGGATGTCCCCCTACCCCCCCCCCCCCCNCCGTCTTGGTGTTGTCTGTATTTGTAGGAATTACTCCATTTATCTTTTTTAACGTAAATGACCAAGTGCAACAAATATTTTTGACTTGAAAGGTTCCGGAAGGCGAGAAATCATTGAGATATTACTACATTCCTCAAATATGACAACTGGAAGGAACAATTGTTGTCAACCCCATCAGATTCCACGGGAGCGACGAAAATGATAAGCGGATGGAAACTGGGGTCGGAGACAATGTCTTTGGTGATGAAAACAAAACAAGAACTGGACAGGTTAGCCTGCGGAATGTGAAAATACTTTCTAAGTTGATGTCAAGTGTTCACTAGTTGTGATAACTATGCGAACGATTTTGACGTGAATCCAATAGAGACTAAATAAATCGTGTTCTTCCGATTAAAGTGAATTAAATTACAAAAGAGGAATGTTTGCATGAGTAAACGAACTGAACTATATACTGCAATGAGATTATCGTTTGAACTGTATGCGCTAGTTTACCACTCCATTGAACAGGGAAGTAGTAGTAGGAGTCAGCTTCCGGCTTGTTGTTGTCAGTTGTTAATGGGACAGAGTTCCGCTCTGCGGATAAATGTATGCAGGGCGCATGCTTACACATATAGAAAACCAAACAGTAGGCGGGGAAAATATAGACAAAAGAATGACAAGGAGTAGCATTCCCTACAGTGGACGAGTTATTCCCCGAAAATCATGTCCCAGAGATCCGTGCTAATGTGATTCATTGTGGGTGGTGATTAGTATTTATTTTATTTCAGTACGCAACCAATCACATAGAGATGTCAAACGCGCCACAAAATATGAACAAAAGAAGATCTGCAGAATGTGTTCATGGACTGTGTGGGCATGTCACTTCCCGGTTGCTTTGATCGAGGAAGAGAAATAACCTCAGGGTCCCCATCCAAAGCCAGAATTGCAAGACAACGGGACGGAGATCAGAGTCCACTGGCCGTTTAATTGGGTCATACGCCCTTTGGACGGGGTCAAACGTCCAAGATGCCCAATACACCTTGATGTCCAATCGAGCCGGTGAACACTGCCACAACCAAAAGGGTGTGCGTGTGGTTCGTACGCCTCTTCTTGGTTGGTTTAGAATCAGGGATTTTAGCCTAGGTGAATCGATCCATTTATAGCCTCGGATGTTGGCTTTGTGCCTCCTCAGTTTGTTGGGAAATCCACCACCACGAGATGACAGTGAGTAGGAATTTCTCAGCAAAAGCTGTTTGAGATGTTTGGTCATATAAGTGCATTTGACGAGGTGTAAGAGAATGGTGATTGATCACAACCCAAGACACCCATTCCGACTAAAATGAGGCTTCCAGAGACTGGTGACTACAGAAAAAGAATTAAATCAATTGAAATGTTCTACTTTTTGCTATAATTTTTTCTTAAGGGAAAATTTTGTGATAAGCAAAAGATGGAATAACCTTAACAGTCATGAAGACCGAATCATGACATAGAAAAACTGTCAATCTAAGCTTTGGGATTTGGAACCACGGTAAACCCCGACAAATACAGAGAGTTCGATATTCAACCTTCAGGTGAGACGATGATACAACAGGTTCGACATGCCACACATCATCAGTTACGATTACCGACAATGTCATCTGATGAAAATAGTTGAGCAGGAAAGAATATGTAAATGACGTTTGGAAGTAGGTTGTCGTCTATTGTGAAAGACCAGATGCATTCGGTTGGGTTTGTCAGTTTACCCGATCAATACTTATCGCCACACCTCCGGGGTTCTGATTTCCTTCGTTGGTGGGGTTGACTTGTTTCATAGTGCTCTGCTGAGTTCACGCTGAAGATGTACAGCACCATAAAAGATTTCGAACGACAACAAAATATTTGATTATGACGTGTCTTTCACTGGCCAATTAGTTCAACACAATCATTGTGAACACTTCTCTCAATGGAATAGAACGTTATATTCTTATTTGTGTTTTAAAATTACGATTTGGTTGGTGTCATGTGTTAGAAGAACATGCTTTGTATATGACAACCAACACTACTTGCGTACTGGGTAATGACTGGGTGGTACCCACGAGATTGTCGTTATCCGATTGAAGATACCAAATGCCAATTTGAAGGGCATATAAAAATAGTCATATTGGGAGGGCAGAGGGGGGGGGGTTCGTAATCAAATGAGTTACAGGACAATTGTGAACATCCTGTGTCCGCGCGTGACACAGACGGACACGTCTGCAATGCACTTTGCGGTTGCCTCGTTTTGATCACACAGCAATGCACTCCCACCAAGCTTGTGGTGGATTTACCTTTTAACAGGTAGTGCGAATTTGAAACCAGCACACCGGAGCTAACCCCTTTGATCAAACAGTCGCATTGGATGACAGAGTTGTAAGTCGTGCAAACTGTAAACGAATGCCAACGAGTTTCCAGTTCTACATACATTCTACACCACATCCTACCCGGACAGAAAACCCTGTGGATTGCTTTTTGTTATAAAATATTGTGATGAAACAGATTGTCATAGTGCATACAACAATCGACTGGATCGTAGTAAAAGTTTTCGTTTAGGTTCTGATCACCTTGGATCATTTTCATCTCCATTGTATGTAGGTTGCAACCATTATATTTGGAATTAGTGAACTTTTTCCGGATTCAGCTGATCCCCTTCGCCTTTAAAGACCTAATGAATTTATCTCGTTACACATCGAAGCAGTGGTCATAGAAACTGTTATGACGGATGCATCCCGGGGTAATTATATCCGATGAGACACAACGCATCAATCACTGAACGATGGCGATCTCCATGAAACCGTGTGAAATCCATCTACAAGATGTATTTGTATTATAAAGAGTCTAATCTTTTTCCAACTGGGAGCTGTTCAAAATCGGTACGCATGGTATCTCAATCAACCCGAGTGACTGTTCTCGCTTTTCATTTCCATGGGTTCTTATCGAATTGCAAGGGTTGATATAATAACCTGGTCTGATTATATTATTTGTTGGTTTGTATCGAACAATACTTCTGCACTTCTGCAACTGTAAGTACTTAAAAAAAGCTGCAGCCGGATATATATTCCGCTTTCCTTTCTCCCGGTTTTTGAGAAAAATACGAATGTGCTACACCCAATGAATGTATTTGGGGGAAATCATTTTTCCATCACAACGACTCGTGACGGAGCATCTGTCTTTTGCACAGACCTGACCAATAGTCGTTGCTAATTGGGAACCTATTCAGCAACGGGGTTATAGCATGTAGCAGAATGCAGTTTGGGATCACACGTTTAATACTGATGAACAGTCAATTTCGGAGTGAAATACACACTGAAGTAGCGTAACAGACATAGAGAGGTTTCTTTACATTCCGATCAAATCTAGACCGATGTTGGCGGGTTGAAGGGGATTCATGGGTGGGTGAAAAATAATAGTGCACATAAGTCACAAAAATCAAAGACAAAAGAGACAAAAGCACAAATCTGTGGATATGATCATGGCAAACATGTGGATTGCTAGCGAAGATGTTTCGATTCGGAATCATGTATGGTGTGCATTTCTGGTGGTGCCGGGAAGTTTCGGGTTAGATTTGACTGGGAACTGGCTTCAAAACTTCCTGTGTAGGAATTTTCACCTTCGCCATCATCCGGACTCTGAAAGAGGACGAAAGTGAAAAGTGAACAAACTTGTAGGTGATATTCTATATTATTCATTTAAAATATACAGCTACACTACTGTCTATCATTCCAGTAGTTAAACATTTCAGGTAAAAATATGCAGCTTACAGATTGAGTTTCGGACGTAGTCAAAGTTCGTTCGTCACTAACGACGCGCACCGCAGCACGCACAGCAACAGGTTCGGTCGGGTTTTGCTTCAAAGATTCATCAAAGTGTGCTTCATCTCCGTGTCCAATGTCAATTGTGGTTGCTCTCGCAGCACCGGTCCGTGTGCTCGGCCACTTTTCATTGGGTGTGTTTGAATCCAGTTCTCCTCTAGGTACATTTTCCGAGTCATCACCCGAGTATGAATAGTCCGCGGAGGATTTCCGTGGAAACAGTTCAGGATCACATTTCACGCTGTTAGATGAAGAAATAGAGAGGAAGGAAGAGGGAAGAAAATGAAATTATCAAGTAAATAAAAGAGCAAGCGGCTAGAATTATAAACGGAATCTGGGAAGATAAATACAAGAGAATAAGTTATGTATATTCGATCAATATTCTGTCAGCCTCGATGTTAACTACCCGTTGTGCATTTCATACTCCTCTACTGGTTCTTTTCACCCAGCTGTTGTTATTGTTTCAGGAAAAAATCATGTAAGAACCCAACTGATCACCGCTCGGAAACCAGATTCAACCCACTGTGGACTCTAATACTAATATTCACCAATTAGGTTCTGTAAAACTCAGTCATGCATTCGAACAAGCATACCAAATTCCAGTGAGGTGTTTTTTTTTCATTTCAGAAATAATCAAGTCACTCGATATTGTTTCCGTACAATAATAATACACTAGGTGAAAGACATGTTCAGTTTATTCAGCTGTGTAAGTCGCTAGCTGAGTGGGTAAAAGTAGAATTCCCTAAAAACATTTGGTGAGTAATAGCAACTTTAAGCTCATATAATATTCGTGCACAGTTTGTGAATTCTCTAAATTAAAGAATGTTTTAACTTTCCAGAGAAAAGCGAAAAGCGCTTTCCGAATTGAAGAGAAAAAAGTTAATTCACACACTGCATCATTATTTGTGATTGTTTTCGATCAGTACGGGGAAATTTGAGTTTCTGTAGAACTCAAATCGGAATTCTCAATTTTCCTGGTCACTCGAACATGAATACGCTTAACTCATGTTTTTTCTTTGGACTGGAATAGGAATATAATTTCGTGAATTTACGTCAAAATTGAGTGACTATTATCTAGATCATTTGATTTGAATTCGTAGTGAAAAAAACAGAATCCTTTCGCATGCGTCTGCAAGGAACGCACAATTACAGTCAGTTGTCTCAATCCTAATTAGGAAACTGTTGGGAATTGAACGCGACTAAAGAGATGATTTGTCTAATATTTTTGTAAGAGAATAAATATTCGGGGGTAGAAACTTTGTTTATTAGGTTACCAGGTTTATCCACAACCCCGACACACTCGGAGCACTTGTCTGCAGCGTTTCATCACATTCCCGTCCCGTTCAACTCGTCACATTCAGGACCGTTTCAGCCCTATCATTTATCATCCATTGAGCCACGTATTGTTTCACTCTGAGGAGACACGAGTCGGGTTTTTTCTTTTTAAGCATCTCTGTCTATAGCACCGCACCGGGAGCTCCCATTACATCAAATTCCCATTGATAACACAAACACAAATCAAACTCATTGATTTGTGAGAAAGGTACAGATGTTAGATGTGCTTTGTCTCTCTCTCTCTGAATTACTCAGTGACCAAGTAGGATGTTATCCCTCATGGTGAATGTCAAGTCCAATAAATCCTGCTAATCACTTCTGTAGTGTATGAACAGAATCTGGTATGGTTTGAGAATTGTAACAGCTGTCCAGTGCTTCCGAGCTTTTCAGTTCACGCTTCATTTGCTATATACACGACGAATTCTCATTTGGAATTTAACCAAATCTTCCATTACCCACATGAAACTGTTAAACAATTCAGCATTACTTCAACTTCACTTGCCACTCAGATTCACGGAAGTTCAAAAGATTTCTACGCTCAAACAAGCACAATTCAGGGAATGTGACCCCCAAATAAAGTTCCATAAGAGGCAACCAATTGTCAATCATTGTTCCGCATGATTTGTTTATCTAATTGGAGTGCGTACTTAGAGCTCAATCTACCGGCGAGGTCAATTTTGGTGCATTTATTTCTAGATAAAGAGAGACAAGGCAAAAGAAATAAGATGGCACATTAGCGCGTGAGTAGGGAGTGACCAATAAGTGCTTTATGCACTTTAGGATGCGAAATGTTGTCTGTACTACATGAACCTCAGAATGTCTTTTTTTATCACCATGGGAATCTAAATCCAACCAGGTTCGGCATGACCTAGACCGTTCGTGTGACTTTGTTTATTCGCAGGGTTTATCCAACATGATCATTTCCGGCAATTCGTGTGCAGGATCAATGTGACAGACTGGGAGAGATAAAGTGATTGTCTCTGCGCCTGAATTTCGACAATAGTTTGTGAAAAAATCCCATCCCACCCTATTTCATTATCTGTTTATTCCATTTTAATTAATTTCATTTACACATGTATCTATAGTTCTATCCACAGGTAGCCAAACAACATTTAGTACCAGTTGGTTGAGTTAATTTTAAAAGATGGGTATCAGTTAAGGCTTTGTTGCAGGTGGACCATTTGAGAAAAAACATTCGATGACCTCAAGAAATAACTTGAATGAACTATAGTAGGACATTGTTGATGTAAGTGGATCAAGATCATCTCGATTGTAGATTGTGCTGTCTATGTGCATATTAGAGCTCGAAAGTGGAATCACTAGCCGGAAGGAATGAGCCCTGAGGGGTGTGAGTTATGGGGGTATATAGACTTGCTTGGACTGAATTTGTTTATTTAACACGACACTTCATATAGTAATAATGCGAAGCCTTGAGAAAAACGTTCCTCTGTATGGGTCAAGTTAGTTCAGTTCAGTTCAGTTCAGTTTGCACAACATATACACTAACAGTTACAGGCAGCTCTTTTTGGCTGATTCCGTTCGACCACCTATTCGGACAAAGCATTAGAAGGAAGAGATGGGGAAAACCCAGCTGGAAACACTTTCAAGGTCAACTACACAGTAGAAAACAAATATGCCAGTAAATACTCTCAGATCATTCGCGCAATAGGGTGATACAGTCAGTCCATTGAATGATGACTTGTCGATTAGGCAACCGTACAGTTTCGTAGTTATTTGTGCCACCGAATTACGTCGTAGACTGAGGAGAAACTATATTCATCTTGTGCACAAATGGTTTTGGCTTTTGCAAAACTCAGTGCAGTAGGCTTCAGAGACGGGCCCGTGCTCTTGTGATTTGCTTTTCCGCTGCATTTTAACGCTAACTTACCAATGCCTGGAAATTGTTTGTCAATTACACACACGAAAAAAAGAAGACAAGCACACAAAACCTATGCGTAGATAATAGACAGGACTAATGCGATGTCCCATAATGAAGAATATCTCCGCTCTCTTTCTAAGACAACTTTTATGTAAAGAACAACCATATGAAGGTTTACTCACAGCTGGAGGGTAGATAGATCAGATATATACATAGCAGTCAGGAATACACAATTTCAAGGAGCCGGTGCACAATAATAAACTAATTTAACTGTATGTCGATTGTGAGAGTTCAGTAGCCTGGGTGGGATTCGAACCCACGCATAGAGGCCGCCTACGCTTTGTACGCACATGCTCTACCAGCTGAGCTACGAGGCCACACCAGTAACACTGATCGTTTCACAGCTCAGCTGGTATAGCATGCGCGTACAAAGCGTAGGCGGTGTCCATGCTTGGGTTTGAATCCCACCGAGGCTATTAAACTTTTCACAATCGACATACGAACTTCAAATCTGCCAAACAACAATTTCAATGATTTAACTGTAATAAATGCTGCAAACGGCCTATCATATAAACTATAGAACACAGTAGAAAACTTCCCTTGTCTCATTACTGTTCAGTTCCCTTATCAAAATTGCCGAAACTTTTAGCCTGCTTGCCGTTTTGAGTAGCACAGTGACGGATGCACAGAGTGGAGAACATATACGCAGAAAATACTTGTTTGACTCGATTGCATGTGAACGTTTAGTACACGCCAGAAGTCAGCGATCATTCTGTATCGGTTTGTGTGTCTGTGTGCGTGCATTTGTGCATGTGTGCGCGGTTTTGATCCGACTGGTTTGGCGCGAAACACACACGCACGCACGAAAGCTTGTATAAATTCGGTGATCACTCAGGACAACCGATAAATGCAATGCGTGACTTCAGGACTGGATGAGTTCAGTATTCATCTAATTGTCTAATCACAACATGATATGTACCAGAGCCAGTGTTGTCGCTAGTATCGCTGTGGTGACTGACAAGTGTTGTTCTAGTTTGCGTTGGACATGATGCACTAACGCACAAAATTCAAACCCGATTGGGCTGATTGATTACGCAGGACCGTGATGAAGAGAACTGTGACAAATTCTGAATGAAACTATTGATACGGTTCACTATTTCTCCAAAACGGTTTACACCTTCCCCTGTGACAATTAAAGACAAGTGGAGTGTGCTCGCTAAGGTTATCTGACAAACGGAAGGTCATTTTGCTCCGAATCAAAATAAAAACGGCCACCAAATGGAAATGTCATCCACATTGATTGGAACACAAAAATAGATTTCGTTTGCTACCATGATGACACATGTACCGGTCCTGTCGAATATTATGACTGCCGATTCAGCAATTGACTTCAGGTGATAGTATTGAAAAGTAATACTAAAGTCACTAGGTATTATATTTTAGGTGTAAACACATGAGAAAAATGCCGTAGAACATGTTATCACACAGTGTGAACAAACAGGTGATAAATCCGTGACGTTTGGAAAAGCTGGAACTGTTTCATCGCTATCCCATGTGATTACATGATGAATTCGTCGTGAAAATGAGGCGTGAGCTGAAAAGCTAGGAAGCACCGGAAAGCTGTTTCGACTTGACTTGGTCTCATTAGCGATACGAATCCATCGACCCAACTGGGAACAGAACTCGGGACCTCGCAGGTAGAACGCCATCATACTACCCACTCTGTCACCGGGCAGCTGATCAGACCGTTTCTCATTTGGATGCGAGCGTGTTGCGAGTATCGGTCCTTGCTGAGCTCAGCACCAGCCTGCAGGGTTATGACTCGGTTGGAAACTTTTACAACCTGACCACTTGTTATATGATAGACAAACACACATACAGAATTACGGTCACTATAAGCATCCCTTTGAGATAAATGTATGGGTTATTGAAACCGTATTCAAAGTTGCTTACTTGTATCCCGCCAGGGAAACAGTTTATTTGTTCTTCTAGGTTGACAGTTAAACTGCAATAGTTTGATCGCAATCCGCGCTAACATAATCACTAGCTTTCAAAGCTCATATTGGTCAATAATAAAACGGTTGCCTCGTGGGTTTCCTGTATGCAGTAAAGCAAAGAGGCCAGTCGTATTCCAGTACACCTGTTTGGACGCTGACACACCAATGATCAAAAAGAAAACCGATCAAATTGATCCAGTTGCAAAGATTTCCTATTTGAATAAGTGGTTTCACGTCGCTAATAAATTTCAATTAATCAACACATACTACCAACTACAGCCAATCCCAGGTGACGTTTTCATTGAATAACTATTTTAGTATCCATAGCAACATGTCTGAAACTGTGGTCCAGGATTTATGCTTGACTTTCGTCGGAATTTCGATTGTGTGAAATATCTGTGTCTCACATCATGATGCAACACTTTCATCGTTGGCTTAACGAATTAGCATTAGAAAGGTTACATTCGCTCTCACTGGTCTTTTGATGCATTGCGGATAAATGAACCGAAAGAGTTTCAGTATGTACAACCAATAAAACCATGCACATTCGTGCGACGGTTTTGGTCGCAATCTTTTGGCTGTCCATTTGGATGAAGCAGTAGGAGAAAGAGAGAAAAGTTGAATGTAAAGTTGAAGCGAAAATGGAGAATTTCAGTGGACTAAGGTTGCAAGAAAATTGACACAATGCATGAACAGAATTGTTTACGACACAGCCATATCATCATATCGTTCAGTGTTTCTTACCTACCCTGGGTTCTCAATCTAAGCTTGGAGATCATTTCAAACAAATTTACCGAACACTTCAAATATACATTTGCAAAAAGGTTTACATTATTAGTCGATCTGTTTGTGCCTATCTGTCCGCGTGCATAAACAATTCCAATTTTATTGACCAGTATGAATTTCCGTATTCTGCTCTATTAGTTCCGTGACCGGAACTGTGTAAGACACGGAGCAGATGATAACAGGGAATGTGATATCATCGATCTCGGGGAAACAGACTTCACAGGAAGAGAAGTGTGAAACAGAATTCAATTCGCAGGTATAAATTTAAAGGACAAAAAAAAGAAACAGCTATATTATCATAGCCATTACTTGTTTATCCAATTGCGATGCTAACAGAAAAAATATAAACAAGTGCGGTTAGAGTAAACTGGAACATCCATGGCCGAAGCTAGGCTCAGGACAATGCGAAGTAGATAGTTGAGTGCTTAAAAAAAAATTACTCCACACCGCCTGTGCTCCTGTCCATTTTCTACGTTCGCATCCTCCGTTTTTGGGCGCGCTGGTAAGACTAGAACAAGCGCCGGCAGCAGTATAGGAATGACTTGAAAAATACCTAGAACAGAATGATAACATTGATTCTTTGAGGCATCGTTGTCTCAAAATGAGCTTATTGAGCTGAGAAAAAGATTCACCTTGCCTTATTCCCATCTCGAAATCCAGTAGAAGAATATCCAGCGATGTTTGCCGAGGCAAGTAGTGGTTGGGAAAAGATCAAGGATAGTCAAACTAAGACCGGGCATGAGGATATGAAAACCCTGACCAGGAGACTGACTCAAACAGATCACGTTTGGCTCACTGACTGGAGACCCCGAGATCATGGTCACCGATGGTTAGAGACACACTGAGTGATATGGCTGGGTGTCACAGACAGTGATGTTCATACATCTACTCATTAATCTTGCAACTTCAGTCTATGAAAACGTGCTATCCTCCCAATGGAATCTGCTGTCAACATTCTAATCTTCATTCTATTGTGAATAAGAATATCCACTTAAAATATTGCCAGAGACGTTTACCTGACGTGCGGAAAAAGTCCGCGAAGCCGATCGTGTGCTTCTGATACATTTTGCACCTGTTCAAATGCCCCCCTTTTAAGTGACTTTGTAATTTCCGCGAGTGAACCTCATGGATGTCACCAAACTGTCTATTGCATGTCTATTGCATGATTTACCTGAATGTTGCTCAGGCATTCACTTCACCCTGCTTTAGCAAAACACACACACTGGGTCCCAATCAGTCTCACGGTATTTTGCTCTATGTTCGAACAAACGGGCAGCTGAAGGACGAGAACGAAATCCGAAGAGCGAAGATATGTACTTTTTTTTCAGGTAAACGTCGATTTCAAGCAAACCTGGAGTTTTTTATCTAGTGTCCTTTCTGCTTCTTACTTGAAGTGGAACGATTTGACTATTTGTCTCAGATCGAATCAAAAAATCACGTTGCTCATTGAACCGGCCACACCTCCATTGCAGACCCCTCGGTATTAACAACGTAAGCGGAAAAACATTCCAACTATAGAAATACTTAACAAAAACGATCTATACACGATATATATATATATATAATTCCTGGGTACAATTATATGAGTGAACGGGCAAAAGATTACTGGATATGCATGCCTGACGAGCAGAAAGAACCGCGAAACCGGTCGTGTGCTTCCGCGAAAATATTGTTCAGTCATTCACGCACTACTGATTATCAAATATATATATATATCGGTTCCTTGACTCACCTCTTTTCCAAAGGCATGGGTACATCCAATGGGGCCACCGCATTCTATGATGGGAATGTAAAGTGAATGATAGATTACGTAATTCCTAATAATAAGCATATAAAGTAATCGAATAAAGCTGCACCATTTTTTAATATTGTAATGGTTTCCGTATGACAGGTTCCCCGTTGTTGATGACTATTGACAGTTTATCTTTGGTTGTAAGTTAAGCAAAATTAATCATCACCTTTTGCAAAATAAAAAAAAGAATATGATTTGACCTGAGAGTTGTACATGTTGTCGTCAATACTGTTTAGTGAAAAAGTAGTTATTATTATTAAAAATAAATTAAAGAAACATCGAATTCTGATCAACGATAAGAGTTTTGCCGAAAGTCATTTTGGTGTTGTATTTTGGGCAACTAAGAAATGTTACCTTTAACCCTGCCTTAGATCGGACCAAATAACACCAAAAGGGAACATTTGCTCACAATTTGATTCGGGTGGTAGGGGTCCTGGTTCAATAGTTTACTTAGGGCTTTGTTTGTTAGATATCATTACCGAACCACATCTCTTTACTATTGAGTTTATCTATCTACGCTTAATCATGCAAGAATGGATGTATGATCCAAATTTGTAATAATCCGTTTTCGGTGTGGCAACCTTTCGCAGCTTTTAAAGGGTGTGCAGTAGGAAAGCGTACGCACCTTCCATGCGTGGGTTCGAATCCCAAAGAGGCTTTTGATATTTTCACAACTGGGGTTATCTATACAATCATTCAAATAGTTATGCCTGAGTCAAACAAAATCATTTGAATAAATATGGTCTTGATTCCTTGGCGTCATTAACTTGTGTTTTGAACGGAGGTATATCCACAACCATGTGATAATGCAGCACAAAAAACTGCAGGGTCGTTTGGAAGGCCATCCTTCAGCCGGGTCTCATTAGATTGGGTACCCATCAACAACAAACTATTAATTGAAGGGTTATTTTTCAAGGATACTAGGCACAGCAATTCCAATGAATACTGTTAACTGTCACAGTGCGGC